ATAGAGAGTGAACCGAGGTGGGGGCATCACGAACTTGGGTTGGGCTTTATAGGTTTAGGTTTGTTTTAGTTTCGGATAGTTTGGTCTCAACGAGCTTAGGCTTGAGTTTGGGTTGGTCCAGAATGAAATGAATGAGAGCCCAATAGACCTGAAGCTCAATGTCCTTCAATTTTCTTTAAGATTTATTTCAACTAGTTTTCCTAAGTCAATTAAATCTAAAATTTTTATGCATGGTTTATGTTTTTGTTTCTAGACTATTTTTTTTAGAACTCTTACACTCCTTTTGCTTATTTATTTCAATTTATTTGATTTAATGCATGTTTATTAATTTGGTATTTAAATTTCAGTTCAACTTGGTATTCAATATTAATTAAATATGAAATTATGTTGTGGATTTTAGATTCCTATTTGTGTGTGTGTAGGTTTTGCTAATTTAATTTTAGATTTATTTAATGTTGAATATTACTTAAATAACCGTTAGTTTAATTAGGCAATTAATAGATGGGTGGATCATCGAGTCTCTTAATTTTTAGGTACTAATGATGATTCCCCACCGACCTTAAAAAATATATAAAAAAAGAAAAATGATAAAAAAAAAGAAGAAGATAGAGAGAGACACACAAAAAGAAAAGAAAAAAAATAAAAGGAAAAGAACAAAGAAGAAGAAGAAGGAGAAGAAGAAATGTTAGGTGAAAAATAACAAGTCTCTTATCTAATAAGGACCAATGTTAGTTCAAATCAATCATATTTTAGTAATTAGATCGTTCTTCGACATATCGGTAATGTCAAAACTTAAACTAGATCCGATATTGAATTGACTAGACTCCGGTAATGGGATCCAACGTTCAATTCAATATGAGGTCACAAACAAAATAAAAAAATTAATTTGGCTTAGATAATAAACTTAAAAGTTGACTTAGAAATCATTTAGCAAAAATAAAAAATTTTAAGAGACAAACTTTTATACTTAAACCAAATGTGGTACTTTTTCTCAAAAAGTATACATTTGGGTGATTGATATCTTTCTAAAAACATAATCAACTTCTTACCCTAAAATCTATGAACAAGTGATATTTTTAGATTTTCTAATTTCTTTTAATATTATGTGACGACTCAAAAAATGTGATTTAATTCACATATCTAGCAAATAAACAAAGTGACATAATTTTTAACAAGAATATTTTAGAAGTCTCTTGAATGTCGAGCAAGCAATAGCCATGTATGCATGAAGGAGAATTCTTTCTAAAAATGAGTCTTTTCCTTTTCATAGAACAAATCATGATTCGTAAAACGAGTTTACCTTGTAAATTGTAAGTTGTAATGGGCAATTTCATTATTATTATTATTATTATTATTATTATTTAGAATAATAAAAGTAGAAAAGATCATTTCACTACTTAAAACTCTGGTGGAGGTTATTTTTCATCCTACAAAAATATAAGATTAATCTGACCACTAATTATGATTTCCTCTTTCGTGGAGTGTAAATAAGTTTATTATTTCTATGTTTATTAAAAATTAATTAATAGCATCTTGATTATTATCAAGAAACCACTTCCACCTGAGTTAGAATTTTTCTAAAAAAATAAATAAATTATTAAGTTATCTAAAGTTTAAGAAAGTAAGGTTTCAATTATGTAAAACTTATCTGAGAATATTTTATCTTAAATAAAGTGTATTTCATATTGACATAAAATAGCTAGTCCTGTTTGTCATAAGATCCAATTTTAACATATTTGTACCTAATTATGATGATTTACTAACTAATTTATGATTGAAACGGTTTCATTTACATTCTGTTCTGCATTTTGCACATTTCATGATCCAATTGTAAAGTCATAATATCCGTTTCATTTAATTAATTATATTTATTGGGAATAAAGTAAACGTTGAACGTCAAACACGCATTTCTCAAATTTTCACCGTTGAATATCAATCAGGGACTCGATCTTTTGGGTCCACTTCCACATTTCCCATCGGGTGGCGCATGGCTACTTTGTGGCCCACGTGATCAAAATGTCACTACATCAGTTCCATCAAATGAGGCATCGTCTAAGATCTTCATCTGGACCCCACAACAACAACAACAACACAAGGGAAAAGCATAGTTTAAATTATTTTCTCTCAAAACTTCTATTTTCACCTCTTTTGGAGACGAGAAGAAAAGAAACGAAAGAAAAAGATTATCGAAAAAATCACTCTAGGATCCTTTACTTTTCGTCGTTATGTGATATTAAATTTAATAGCCAAGAGTAAATTTGAAAATTAACTGTTTTAGTTAAATTTCTCCGACTGTTTCTCCAAAATTATGAGATTTACTTATACGAGTTAGAAAAAAAAACTTTTTTTTTTCATGTATTTTTCCTTTCTCCTCTCAAATAAAGAAAAATAATATTTCAATTTCTTCCTCTTTTTCCTCCCTAACAAGTTAAATGCTTATAAACCCTAATAGGTTATAAATACATAATTTCTAGTAACTTTTTTCTAAGATGAATTCTTTTTTTTTTTTTTTTTATCAAGAAAATTTATATCTTAATTGATTTTGCGATTTTTTTTTCCTTTTTTTCTCTTTTTTTTTTATCAAATTTTTATATCTTTTCAATGCAAGTAATGGAGTTTGTGATTTCTTTCTTTCTTTTCTTCTTTCTCTCTTTTGACAAACATATTGGCATATATGTTCATCAAACCATAATTTTATAGTTCAAACACGTATTGAAAAAAATCAATATGTATAATTACTAATTATTTTTCTTATCCATAACTATATAGAAGAACGAAGAAAATTGTAATTAAGTATCTAATATTTTTTTTGAGTGTCAAATCAATAAATTCTTCTATTTAAGTGTTTAAATTTTTATTTTTACTTTTTTATCCGAGTGTCTACAATTACTTGATATTGAAAAATACTAATGTGTCATGTGATAGTTTTTAAATAACATGCGGTAAAAAGTAAGTCCGCTTGGATTATTTAGAAAAAATACAATTTGAATACCTAACTTTTGATTATTTTTCTGTTTGAATGCTCAATATTTGTGTTTTTTTTTCTATTTGAGTTTTCTTAGTCACTTGAGATTGAAAAATATTAGCGTAATTGAAATTCAGTGATATGCAACAGTTTTTAATTGACACTTGATAAAAAAAAGGATCCAATTCATATTTATTGAGAAAGAAAAAAATATAATTTTTTATAAAAGAAAATAGTTGACAAAAATTGATGATAATAATAATAATAAAAGAAATAGAAATCAGTTACAGTTACTTGAATAAAGTCAAATTGTTTAGATGGTTCAAGATTAAAACTCTTGGATTAGGCAAAAAAATATTTAGATGATATATATATATATTTCCAATTATTAATTTTTAACTTTTGAAAGATAATTCGATTTTTCTACCAAATTTTAATTAATCCTAATTAAATTCTTTTATATGGTTAAAAAATTACAAAAATTAATATAATTATAATTATCAAAATTTATATAAATTATTTAAAAATAAAAAAGAATTAAATAAATATTTAAATTTATTTATTTATAATTTATTTTAAACAATACATTAGAGAAATTAGAAAAGTTCCTCTAAGATAAATTAGTGAGATGATAGACATGTGAATGAAGTACCAAAAAACTTGTTTAAGACAGATTGGGATCAAGTATGTATTAATCTAAATCTTTGACTTGTTTAATCCAACTCGATTGTGAGGTGATTTCAAATTTTAATTCTTTTTTATTTATATCCTTCCATCCACATTTTTCATTGACAAAGTTTATATTCCTTAAATCACTTAAATAAAAAACAAGTAGATTGGAAGGATGAAGTCATTGGAATTAAAAAAGAAATAATTAGGTTAAACAAGAATTTGAAAAGCAAAAGGTGGTTAATTAAATATAAAATGCAAAACTTTTTATATTAGATTAAAATGAAAGAAAAAAGGAGGAAATGGACTTAAATCTATTTCTCAGTCCCCCTCTCACATCTACCAAAGTCCCCGCGAACTTCTGGTTCTTCGTAACCGGAGGTATAGGGTTTAGATGTACAGAAATTTAGTACAGGGATTAATTTAACAATCTACTTAAATTTGGAGGACCTATTAAACCTAATTAACCTACAGAATGTCCGCTGTTGCTGTAACGCTGTAACAGCATTTATGAAAAAACTAAAGTAAGACGTAGGATTATTATTTATTGTATTATTTACAACTCTGATCATTCAGATTAATTTATACTATTCACTTAACTTAAGATGTATTATTACTTTTATTATATAGTTATATTTTTATAGTTTTTAAATATTTTTTAACTATTTATTATAAATTTTTTCGTAATATTATACTTTGATTCTTTTTTAAAATATTGTTTAGTCTATAAATATTTTTTATTTGATTTTAATCTCTCTTTTTTATTTTATTTTGATTTTTTTTAATTTTAAAGTAAAAAAATATTTAAAAAATAATTTATAAAATAAGTTTTTGGTTAAGAATCTATTGATTTTGATATTTTTTATATTATTATAAGTTTTTTAGTTTATGAATAGAGATAAATAAATAATATTTTTTAATAAAAAATTTATAAAAAATAATCAGTCAAATACAAAATTTTGATTAAAAAATTAAATAAATTTTATTTTTATTTAATTTTATATATTTTAATATATATATAATATAATATAAAATATAAAATTAAGATAATTTTTAAAAAATAATTTTACGTATTCTATAACAGTACAGCGTGATAAAAAAGAAAACGAGTGCATGCTAAAAAACACACGAACAAAGACTAGAGAGAATAGTCAGAGGCGAGTGGTCGAGTGGGCACTGTGTAGTGTATTCTTCGATATAAATACAAATGTGAGCCCCATTTGCAATTCGGTTACTTAAAAAAAATAATTAAAAAAAACAACAGATCTATCTATTATGCGCTCATTTCTTGTGATTTGAGTGCTTAATATACATATTTTTTTCATAATCTTCTCGATTTGTCTGCGAGGGATTGACATCGGCAGCCATGGTTACGACGACCAAGCTCAAATCCGTCGATTTTTACAGGTCCGATCGATCTCCATTTCTTCAATAACTCTTAAAGATTTCGCATTATATTACGAATCTCGAAGCGTTAATTATCTATATATCCTTTTTAACATTCATTAATTAGGTAATGAGATTTGTTCATATATTTTTTTTAGTAAATAAATTAGATGTATGTGTTAATTTTTCAGGAAAATTCCTAGAGATTTGACAGAGGCATCGTTATCAGGTGCAGGATTATCGATAGTAGCTGCCCTCGCTATGATGTTTTTGTTTGGAATGGTAGGTAGCTTCTCTACCTATTTTTTAGGACTAAATACGCTGCGAATTAATGTTAATTTGATTTTCATATTTGCAGGAACTTAATAATTATTTAAAAGTTAACACCTCTACATCTGTAATTGTTGACAATAGTTCTGATGGGGAGTTCTTGCGCATTGATTTCAATCTCAGGTAAAACAAAATAAAAGATCTTGCCCTATCTAGAAGAGTATTATTTATTTATTCCTTGTACAAATGCATACGAGCTGTTGGATCGCGGAATTTGCACCAATTTGGTTGCAGAGTAGAGTAAGCAGGACGAGGGTTGTTGTTGCTGTAACATAGGGATTATTATCAATTTCCTTGACCTATGTTGAAGTCATTTTCCGTTTTTTGATAAGTGAGTAGAGAGTAATTGGTATCACGTGCATAGGTGATTACAGTGTCAGGAGTAAATGTATGGACAAGGTGATAACTAGGCCGAGGTCTCTTGTTAATGGAGTTTTTAGCTTTTGGGATTTTGTCAGGGTTCATGATGTTAGGCTGCATTTGCTGTTCATGTGGCAATTTTTTTTTTTTTTCAACTTCTTTTGTTTCACATTCTTTGAAGAGATCCAGTTTTATATTGTCCTAATGTTCTTAACTTTGAACTTTACCTATAGGAGTAAACCTAGTGTCAATTGTCGATCTATTTTATTTCCCTCTTCAACTTTTAGGTTGTGGCTGATTTTTTTCGACATTGCCTCTAAGGATGCTGTAATGCTTTTCCTATGTGAATTCCTTGGTTTTACATAAATAATTGTCAATCCTGTATTAATCTAGAATTTTCTTTTTCTTGCAGCTTTCCTTCACTCTCATGTGAATTTGCATCGGTTGATGTGAGTGATGTGTTAGGAACTGTAAGTTTTTTCTATCTATTGTTGTGTTTCATCTATTTAGATTTATGAAAATAATTAGATGATTTTTTTTATAAGGCTTTTTTATAGATTATTTTTCATTTTGTGAAAGTGACTTGGGTGCTGATAGGCAATAGCTGCCCAAGACTTGAGAAATTATGGTTATTTTATATATGTGATAAGCTGGAAAAAGAAACAAAAGCAGAAGTAAGTGCATGTTGGTTTAGTAGGATTTCAGTGAAAAGTAAAGCAAATGGACCAAGATGTCCACAAAGCTATCTTCACGTGTGAGGGGAATCATTGAAATTTCTAGAGATAATAATTGTTATTCCTCTTTCCTCAAAGATAAATTAGAGCCATTTTGCATTTCTTCTATGTAGGGTGCAATTTTCTTCTCAATAATTTTTCCATATTTTTGGAAGAAGTTTGATGTTCATTGTATGCTTGCCTTGTATTCCTAGATGCGTTGTACAATATGGGGTGCACCATCCTTGAAATTATGAGTTAGATGTGCACCCTTGAGGTTTATGATCCTTACTGCCAATTTATTTTCCCAACACATTATTCTGGACTGGCCTAAAAGTTTACTTTCTTTTTTCCAGAACAGGTTGAATATAACAAAAACAATCCGCAAATTCTCAATTGATCATGATTTGAAGCCCACTGGATCTGAGTTTCACTCTGGACCAGTTTCGCATCAAATCAAGCATGGAGATGAAGCTGATGAAGAAGGCAATGAAGGTTCTGTAGCACTCAAAACTCATAATTTTGATCTATACTCACATCAGTAAGTTGCTGAATTCCTACTTACATATATTTGTTAGGTTCTGAATTTGGAAGATTTTCTTGTAGTGATACCTTTGTTTGACTTATATGGAGTAATTCTTTTCTCAGGTATCCAATTTTAGTCGTCAATTTTTATGCCCCTTGGTGCTACTGGAGTAATCGCCTGGTAATTTAATGATGTGCATTTATTTCTTAAAGTTTAGCTTGACTATTAGGATAGAGGACCATTTGGTGTGGCAGATTAATAGATTGTACATCTTTTATGATTTTTTTCAATGAGACAGCTTCTAAACGTAATTTTTACAAGCAATATGCTGCATATTTTGATCTAGGTTTATTTGAAATTGTTCAATGAACAATGTCATGCGGTCTTTGTATCAGGAGACTGCTCTTTGATATGATTGTGAGACAGGAACGTACAGAGTCATGATAATAAGCTCATACTCTGGGAATTTTTGTGACTGCAAATGTTTTGATAAAATCAGCTGAAGGTTTCAAATTTTTGGTCTTATCTTTTGTTGTTCGATAACGACTCAGTTATACTTGGCAAAATCATTTTAAACCAATCCTGTATAAATACAGTGATGACTGGTGGACTCAGTGTTTCACATTCTTCTTCCCTGACTATTTTCTCTTGTTTCAGAAACCTTCATGGGAAAAGGCTGCTAAAATAATAAGAGAAAGGTATTTTTCTTTCCAACTTTTTCCCCCCTGAAAATATAGACAGCCTTCATTTGAAGTAAATTGTTATCCTTAGTATGACATTATGATATTCACCTCCCACAATGTCCATGCACTTTATCAGGTATGATCCAGAAATAGATGGGCGGATTCTTTTGGCTAAGGTTGACTGTACTGAAGAAGCCGATCTGTGTAGGAGGTATTTTCTAGATCAATGTTTTCTGATTTGTAAGTTGATTTCTGTTGGCAGGCCAATGTGAGCATGGGTTTTACATTTGGGGATTGCATTCCTATTCTGATAATGTAGCTAATGGATTTTGACTTTCATCATGCACTTCTAGTTTGGTGTGTATGAATAACGTTGTGTTGCTGTAATGTTTTGAAATATTTCTTCCAACTCAATATTGATTAATCTGCGTTTAGCTTCATTGTAGTTCATGGGGTTATTTCTCCTTTCTCTCTTTTATCCTTGTTGTAGGATTTGGTTTCCTAAGTTGATTATTTCTTAATTAGTAAGTATTTTGCCATGAATTTTTCAGGAATCACATACAAGGCTATCCATCCATTCGTATTTTCCGTAAAGGAAGTGATCTTCGGTAATATATTTTCATCTATACTCCTCATATGCTGTTGACTTTTATGATTATCTTTCCTTTATGTTGTATGTTTTCTTGGTGCACTTTTATTCTTAAGGCAGTTCTAATGCATATTTGCTCTTTAAATTTACCATGTGAGGTAAATCTATTTTATTAAATTCTTCGGTTCTCTTCTGTTTAGTAAGGATACTTTCTTTGTTCTAAAAAAATTGGATAAAAACTGCTGAAAAAAGGAAGGGCTGGCTTCTTTAAGGACATATTCATATGCAAGAAGCACAGGAAATTAAGATCAATTAAAACCATTAACATTGACAAAACCCTGGAAAGAAATATGAATCAAAAACCAAACGGGACACAAGACAAGAAATGATGATGATAGCGACCATATACATATCTTGAGATTCTGATATGTTTTGATACAATCTTAGATATGAGCTTGACGTGTATTCATTTGAAGATTGTTTGATTTGTTTGGTCTTCCTTAGGTTTTGAAAGCGAATATGAGGTGGAAATAATGTCCTAGGTATACTGAGCCTTGAAGTGGTGTGTCTTGCATTTGAATTAATCTTTTCTTTTCTTTTTCCCGGTTGGGTACAACATTGGTACATGTCAATTACTATCCTTGACTGAGTTTTTGATATCCCGTTTTTTATGTCTTCCATCAAATACTTGGTGGCCAACACCAATTGCTTTGTAAACTTTAACCTTCCTCTTCGAATCAGTGAAGTTTAAATTTCCTAATTGAGATTCTGCTATTTCCAAATTGCAACACCATGTAGAAACTAAAAATTGAACCCCATGCCATCTGAACACATAAAGAATGTCACATATAAACTAAGAGACAAAATATTAGAAAAATGGAGGGTGAAAGGAATATGCTCTTTTTTGTAGTTTCAGATCTGCCTAACATTTTCAATGTTCACAGCATTTTTGAACTCCTAAGAAAAGGTAGCTTACATTAATAGATGACAATTTTTGTTTTGATTCATTGCTGAGTACAACATTTTTGTGTCCTATGCTTTTCCTTTGTTATTACTGCTTTGTTGGCCAACTTCGTTATTGGGCATTTTCAATTGCCACAGGGAAGACCATGGACGCCATGAGCATGAATCTTATTATGGAGATCGAGATACAGAAAGCCTGGTTAAGGTATGAACACTCCTCTTTTTCCTATTTTAATTCTAACCATGACTATATTACTTATGGGTGCAAACTTGGGTTTGTTCATGATAATTGATGCAAACCTGGCATACTTTTTATTATGCCTTGCAGACAATGGAGGGTTTGGTTGCACCTATTGCAATGGAATCTCAAAGGCAAGCTCTGGAGCATAAACCTGAAAATGCAACAGAGCATGTTAAAAGACCAGCGCCTTTAGCAGGAGGATGTAGAATTGAAGGATATGTGCGTGTAAAGAAGGTAATGGGATGTGACCCTATGGTTGCTTGTAGATATGTTGCAATGGTAGTTCATGATTGGCAAGATCAAAATTAGTAAACAAAATGACAGATCAATATAGTCATTCAGCCATCCTGAGATTCTCACAATATTTTTGTGGGTTTGTAAATTGATCCTGATAGGAATATTCAGCATTACTTGTGGTAAGTTCTTGGGTTTTAAATTTGAGCTGTCTTGTACTCTGCAGGTACCAGGCAACCTCATGGTCTCAGCTCGCTCAGGAGCCCATTCCTTTGATTCTGCTCAAATGAACCTGTCACATGTCATATCCCATTTCTCATTTGGTATGAAGATCTTGCCCAGGGTAATGAGTGATGTGAAGCGTTTGACACCTTACATTGGTCGAAGTTATGACAGATTGAATGGCCGATCTTTTATTAATCACCGTGATGTAGGGGCTAATGTCACTGTAAGTTGTCACTTGCAAGTGGTCCTCTAGATTCATTATTTTGTTTATTTCTGTAATGTTTACTGCATGCTTGGTCATAACCTATCAGCATTCCAACATGATGTAAGTTGACGTCTCAACTACACCTACAATGTTTAAATGCATTGGAACAAGATGGGCATAGAATGTAGATTCCTCATTATTCTTCATATGGATGAATGAATGTAGATGGAAATGCCATGGACCCACAATGTGAAATCATTCATTTTAGGATTTTGTCTAGGACCACAACCATTTTAAATTCTATAAACAGTGAAGAGATGCAGATCATAATCTGGAGTTTTGTTAGGGTGAACCAGCGATGGTTGATGGATTGAACATCCTCATCCTTTGTAATGTTAGTCTCGGTTGTTTCTTTCGACATATGTTTAGAATAGGACATTAATTCTTTATGTTAGAGATAAATTCATTTATGTTCCTAATTATAAGATCTTGAACCACCCATATTCTTGTAAGCTGGTGAATGAATATAATTTAGACTACATTATAACCTTTGCAATTTTAAAGATATATTAACATTCAACTACTATAATATGGTAATTGCAGATAGAGCATTATCTCCAAGTAGTTAAAACTGAGGTGGTTACAAGAAGATCTTCAGGTGATCGTAAATTAATTGAGGAGTACGAATATACAGCCCACAGCAGTTTGGCACAGACTGTCTACATGCCGACTGCAAAATTCCATTTTGAGCTCTCTCCAATGCAGGTTCAGTAATCAATTAAAATAATCGAGTCTTCTTTCTCTTGTTTGATTATCATTGGACTGGAAGATTATTCATATTGTTTTCTCTGCTTTTGCTCTGTAATCTGTTTCTGATGCTTTTTTTTCCTACTTCCGATATCAGGTTCTGATAACAGAAAATCCAAAGTCTTTTTCACATTTTATCACCAATGTCTGTGCCATAATTGGAGGTGTCTTCACGGTTCGTATTTAAATTTGCGATTTTTTTTGTCTTTTCCCTCTAGACTCAAGCAGATGCAGTTTCTGATAGTTTTTCCTTCTGGATTTCAGGTGGCTGGGATATTGGATTCAATTTTGCACAACACAATTAGAATGATGAAAAAAATAGAACTCGGCAAAAATTTTTGATAGGAAGATGAAATTTGATGTATAAATTCTGTTCTCATTCTCCTTTTATTTAGCAAGAATTTTATTAGAACAATTACAGTATTTACCTGGTAACGAAGTTTTCAAGAGACGCTAATACAAGAAATTTTTCATGGCTCTGTGCAACTCCAACCTAGACTGTTTGACTGCTTGTTCATTTCTTTTTCTTCTGGTGGAGGAATGGATTCCCCTTGGAGCAACAGTCTGTTTCAATTGTATTTGTCTATGATCAAGCACAATGGGTGTTGGCCCAGCAATGCCTTTTCCTCCTCATAGATTTAAATAACGACCGTTACACAATGTTATGCCCGTTATATAGTAGTTTTGAAATACCTTGTTACTGTTATTCAGTGTTACAAGGATTGCTATTTTACGCAAATAGGCATTACTGTTATGAGTTGCCGATATATAACAGAGTTATATATGGAAAAAAAAAAAACAAATCCTTATATTTCAGCCTTGCATGTAGCAGCCTATTCATGTGATTGTCTTTATTTTTCTGTCCTTATTATTCAGTCTTTGCAGGTTTGAATTTTGTTATTCCCTTTTTTTTTTTAAAAAAAAAACCTATATTTCAGCCTTTGCATTTTTGCTAATGTATGTACGATGTTAATTGTTAAATTGTGACCCACAATTGCTATCGTGACCCACAATTACTATAGCAACCGTTTTCAACCGCATCAGCTGTTTGAAAATATGCTTCTCTTTTTTTGTCCTCCCTTTTGTTCTCTCCGCACAGAGGTTTCGTAAGGGAAAAAGGGAATTGTATTGACTGTTGTCGAGGGAGAAGTTCTGTTCCAGTGTAAGTAGCATAGTTTTAAATCATGGATAATTGAAAAAACGATCGCAATTGAATCGTGATTTATTATAATATTAAAATAATACTAACAGGATGTTTTGAAATCGTTATATAACGTCATTATATAATGCAATGGTTGTTATTTAAAATGATGACAAGTAGGATATTGCTGTCGCTGTTGCTCCTGACTGGGAAGAGTTGTGCTTACCAATGGCATGTGATGGGAGAAAAGAACTAAACAAAAATAACAAATTTCTTGCATCCACGCCTTGTAAAATTTATTATATTTCTTTCTATACAACAATCTTACATGAAGTAATAAGCACGCCATAAATTATCAGCTTATTTATCATACGGAACAAACGAATGTTCAAATACCAATACACCTTGAAATACCCAGTTTAAGTGACTGAGCTCAAGGCAGGAAAATCATAGAGAAAACCAGAGGGATAAAAAAAAATGGAAAACAGTAAAAAATAAAAAATAAAAAATGGCAATCCAACTCTTGTCCGAATAATTTCCCCCCTAGAATGCTAAAATAAGAGATGAAGCAAAGAATGCTCCCATGGAACCAATGAAACTCACGAACATGGCAGAAGCCGAGTTTGGAGGCGGAGAGGTGGGAGCTGGAGTTGGGTTTATCTCCACTGTACCTGCAGGAGGAGAGTAGTCGCCGCTAGGCGTAGGAGCTGGGACCATGTCAGAGGGACCTGGAGATGGAGGAGAAGCTGGGGCGGTTTGGTTTGCGTTGGCAGAATAATTGTGTAATCTTTCTGCTAAAACAACGACCACCAACTTCTCATTCTTATTACAGTTATCTTTGTTTCCACTAATGAAGTAGTAAGGTCCGGATTGCTTGAATTTGAAGACAGTGTGACCGTCATTGAATGTTGCAATCGGACTCTTGGTCTTGCAGCTTTCATAGTCCTCCTTTTTTACCTGGAGCACTGAGTCTTGGCTAGAATCATAAGCAAACACTGCAAAACCGAGAAGAAACTAATTTATTTAACGAAATACTAAGATTTTAAGACATATATTCTGTCGAAAGATGAATCCTTGGGACAAAACATAAACTTACAGAGGGAGTCTCCAATCTGAAATCGGGTACGTTCAGCCCATTCAATATAGTAGCCCTTTGAACTGGTATTGTCAGGCACGGTCCAACCTTTCGAACCTCCAACCGTGAATTGAAATGCATTATTCTTTTGTACCAACATCAAGAAACACAAGAGCCCCACAACGTGAAAGACTTTGTCTTGGTAACTGATGTTGGCCATTGAAAAGCAATAAATGAAATTAGAGGAAGTGATGTGATTTTCACCCAAAATCTGAAATCTTAGTTTTAGATGAAGTTAAGGTGCGACAAGGATGGTGTTACGTTCAGGGTTTTTGTAGGCGAAGTTGCATCAACTTTACAAGCTGTGGCAGTGAAGCTTTTTTCGCTTTTTCATATTCTCATTTCTTGAGATATCTTCGCTTCCAGTGCAAAGCATATGCTCACCCTTTTAATCTGTCCAAAATAGATAGTTATTGGCTCTTTTGGTATTTCACGTAACTTGGCCTATAGGTTAATACTTTACTTTGACCATGATCAAGAATATTCATGTCGTCTTCATTGGGCTAAGCCAATCATATCCGATACTTGATTCACATATATCTCTTTAACACTAGCTAGAAGATATACTTTCACGAGTCCATTTTGAACCCTTAATTTGCTTGATTAAGCAACTTTGAAATACTAGTTTGTTTCTTCTTCTCAAGCACAAAAGAGCTTTGGACGCCTTAATTTCACGTGGAAATATAAAGTTCTTTCTGTTTATGGTTCAGAAGTGGAATATCAATGGAAGACAGAACCTATATAAAAAGTTATGCAGTTGTTTGGCATTTTTTTCTTTCGAATAGTAAATTTATTTACTTTAAGAGAATAACATAATAAATTACATTATTAATTAGTTTGTTATCAGTAAGAACTGCTGATGGATTAAAGAAAGCAATAGAACATATATGCTTTTGCATGTAAGAACTACAAGAAAAAGGGTGCCAGTGGTTCTGGTTGACAATGTGACTTGTGGTATGAACTTTTCTTTGGTCAAATCAAATGCAGGGGTTTTGTAGTATCCATATCTAACTTAGCATATGACTGGTTTTCCTATAAGTTGAGGTGCCAATTATATTGAAATCAACTTCCTCTTTGGGCGCCTCCAAAATTAGGAGACATGCTCAAAGCTGAAGAACATGAGTTTGATAGAGCCCTTTGGCCAAATTGCATGCCTGATCTTCTGGCCTGTGCTACAACATAGGAATCTTCCTTGTACAGCTCTTCAAGGCACAAATTTACTATGGAAGGGCTGAAGCAAGTTGGTTCAAGTGGAATCGGATTCTATGATAGCAGTTAATGCAATCAAGCATAATACGCATCTTACTTGGCAATATGCATACCAACTACGTCATTGTCAGCAGATGTCAGTAAATCATAGCTTTGAGCATGTATGATGACAATAAAATTCAGTTACAGATAGTCTGACTAATTTTGCTCACGGTTATCGATCCAATATTATCTATATGAACTATATGGATCTACCTATAGACATTAGGAATATTTGTAAACATGACACCTTTGGAATTTATAGCTACCCAAATAGCATTATGCATGTATTTTGTAGAATTAATAGAAAAACATTCTATATTATACTATTGCCATATTACAATGCCTTGTATAGGAGGGATCATAATTTTAAATAACGGTTGCGGTTGAAAAAAGATTATGATCGCGATTGTAAAATGACCATCGCGACGACCAATGTCGTGAATATATTAGCAATTATTAATAAATTTATTCTAATTCACTTATTTTTGACAGCTTTACTAATTAAACATACTAATAAGTAATAACATCTCTAATAGTTTAATAACATCTAACAATAGTTAAATTTATTACAAAAAATAATTAATAACACTTCCAATAGATTAATATCACATGAAAAATAATACAATACTTTATAATTTCAATATACACATTACAAAATATTCATTTCGAAAAAGTTCATCGTGGAGAATTATAATAATAGTTATTATCTTGTTATTGATGTTGTGATCCTTGTCTATCAAAATTACAACCATAACTATGTTGTCTTTCTAAATCCAATAATTGCCTAAGTAATTTCTTGAGGATATTGTGAATTTGAAATTGACTGGTTTTATGAAGTACTATATGAATCATAAGATACATAACTATATACTTGTAGACCTTGTGGGTGGTAGTATTGTCCTTGACCATAATTGAAGCTAGAAGTCGAACTATCTTTGGAAGAGGCAGAGTGATGTCCTTGATCATGCGAGTATGGTACCATTAGATTGTTGTTGGTCTACTAATGGTGCTTTATTTCTAGCACCGGATCTAGGTGCCGTAGGACCATGTAACCCATGCTTATATAGAACCGGATTAGCACTTGCTATCAAAAGTTTTTCGCTTTCCACAATCTTCATTATTGCTACTCGCTACTATTATTGTTATGAGAAGCTTCTAGATCACTAGGTTACTCATCTTGATCATCGTCACCATCATTATCACTATAATGTGGATTAGTTTGATCATTAGGATTGTTTTGATCGTTTTCTTCATCACCACCGTCATTGTCGCTATCATCATCTTGCACATGTAACCGATCCATATTTTTTCTATCGATGATCTGGTTGTTTATTTTCCTCTAACCAAGTAGATATTGGATCTTCATAAAACATATAATCCAAATTAACTGGATTAAAACTTTCCTCTAATTCTTTCTAGCTCTTCCATAAATATTTCTTAGCCTCGGCTTTATGTTGTAATGAAGATAAACAAGTCTATGTAATTTTTGATACTTTAACTTGTTTCTTATCTTCATATGCACTAATCTAAAAGTGCTCTAATTTCGTCACAATTTGAAGCAAAAGTTGTTTGGCTCAAAACCTACATTGTAATCTTTTTAAGCATTAGAGCATCATTTTCATAACTATTCCACCACTCGGATATATTGAACAAATAAATTTTCATAAATTAAAAAAAATAACACTAATAATATTTATAGTATGAACTTTCATAAATTAATAAAGTAATTGGATTTGTTAAATACACGACTTTCCGAGATATGGTTAAGCCAAATGTTTTTTTTTCAAACTATACAATTCCAATAACATATTTAAATTAAAACAATATTTTAATAATATTATAATTAATATATATCATATGATATTAAATATTTTTAGCATCTTTTGTTATCACAATTTACAAGATTATTTAACTTACTTCATTGACGGCTTTGATTTGCTTATCAATGTCGGGTTCTAATCTCATAATTACATTTCGACACCTTGCATGATTTTTCATCTTGATAATTTAGATTCTTTCGGAATATATAATGATATTGAGGATTCAAAAAATAACCTACAAAAATAAAAAAGAGTAAATAACATTATTTCTAAATGATATTTAAGTATAAATAATAATTGAAGATATCTTTAGATTGTTATGATTAATTTATGTAAATTTATGTACTTACCAACCACATGTAAGTCGATATGTAATTAAAATTCCCATCGTTTATCAATTATGTCATACCACATTTTTGAATATCGATAACTTGCTTGAATTTTTTACTTTGTTTTGTGCGAGTGCTTCGTAGATAAACCCTATAGTCGGCTTGTCATCACTATCCATAAACTTCAACACCTTTACAGTTAGCTCCTCAATGGCTATCACTTCATCCGCCTTCTTCTAGAATCTTATTGTAGCACTAATATGTGAACGTCAATAGCAAGTCGATTTGTCATCCTCCCTTATTTAAAATTGTTCTAAGCTTCCGACTCCCACATCTTCGAGTGTATTCTTAAATTTAATAATGCTTTTTCAAAGTAACAAAATTATTAGCAAATCTAGTAAAGTCGAGCCAAAGTAAGTCACACCTATCGGTAAATTTTTTTTATATAATTAACTACCCAATTATAATTATAAATAATTGGGTAATTTTTTTTTTTTTTGGCCTTCTTAAGCACTTCTTTAACCTTGGATTTCTTTCCAATGTCTTTTAAAGCTAGTTTCAAACAATGAGCGTAACAAGTTGACCAATATCGGTGAGGGCAAACTTGTATTAACTTTTTCATACGAGTTTTCATTACGGTTTCATTATCAACACTATCCGGATCACTCTATGTTCACCAACTTCATCCATCACTTTTTTCATCAACCTTAAATAATATTCAACATCATTTGTTAGCACATTTGATGCATCAATTGATTAGATGAACACGTGTTTTGATTTGAATAAACTAAAAAATTGATGATGTGCATTTTTGTCGGCCTAGACCATCCATCACACATGATTGTGACACCTCTTTCATTTGATGTACTTTTTTATATTTGTCATCTTTTCTATTAAATACACCTCTAAAAAATCATAAGCACTAGGAGGTGGAATTATGGAACCAACTTCAATGATAGTTTTAAGCATTATTAAAAACTAAAGTGATTCCACAACATTGTATGAGATTCTCTCATGAACAAAAAAAATGTCCAACTACTCTTCTTAATGTTGCTTTCTCAATTTTATATAACCAAGAATTTATTGACTTTTGTTTTTTTTTTCTTTTGTAGTATTTTGTACAAACATTTCATCTTCTTATAACTTTTTCAATCATTTCCTTGAAGTTGATTGTTGAGGAATTGATGGAACACCACTATGCCATCTTCTTGAACTAGATCTTTCATGCAAACTTTGTGAACAATGCATAATAAAAGCTTATTGGTGTTATCCTCTTCTAGAATCAAAATCGAGCCCTCTTCATATAATTCTCCTTTACTTGCTCTATAATTTGTTAGTGCGAGTGTTCAAGATCCAACCTTATTTGAATGGTTTGACTTATTATACTCGTTGCATTCTTTATTAATAAAAAAGTCTTTCTATTAATTCTTGTTGTTTATATTTTGATAGAATTAGATAGAAGTCCATATGATATGTATTGCATTAATGATTGATCGAAAGATGTGAGACAAACATTAATGTACTTAAATGATATCATTAAATATCCCAAGTTATAGCATTGTTAAGAATGTATATTGACTATATACGACAAGATTTATGAGTGTTATCCTCATGCTATAAAATAGCAAGTAGGAGATCTCACACCTATTGGCATGACGATACCAAAATAAGAGCTTAAGTGATTAATGTTAGAGAACATATCGCCGGATGTGACTCGCCATGAGAACCCACTTGTTTCAGCTTTATAAAAATCTCATATA